AAAAAGGCAGGCTAATGGTGTTGGTGGTGATGGAGGTGAAATGCAGGAGGAGAAGGGGGAAAACATTTTTCAGTAAAATCCTGGAAAAGCTTGGCTTCTCCAGTAGTACATCATACGCCGGTGGCAGGATCTGCTGTTTGCCCAAGAATGTTCTCTGTACGTTCTAAAATTTACTCCTGCCTCAAAGCATAAAGACTGGATCCTTTGTTATCAAAGTCTTGCAGCAAAACATGGGCAAGGATCCAGCAGGGTAGGCAGGATCATTGAGAAATCAAAGCATTACAGTTTGCTGCCACTGTAACTTGAAAGTCCTGAGGTTTGTGCAGACATAGCTGTGTTTAACCTTGGAGTGGTAACTGGAGCTAATTGCACTTCCAAGGTTTACGCCAAGTAGGTCTCATTTCGACTGTGGAATGGGCCGGGTCCTTTGGAAAGGAACCCAGCTTCTTGTTGAATTGATGTTCCATTTGCTGGGAGCAGTTCCTTCCCACCTACGTTCATCCCACACTGCCTGGCTTCAGTTGCCTTTTGCAAACCACCTAGAACAGGAAATGCCTTACAATTTGTTGTATCCTTAAGCCAGGAAGTGAACTGGAAAGAATCTGCATGGAGAGAAAGACCAGCGTTGATGCAAGCGTGGAGAACAGACCGATGGGGTTGGTTGCTATCCCAGGAATTAAAGACATATTCAGGGAAATGGATGTGAAGAAGAGCTAGGTGTGGTGTTCATGTCAGGACTTTGATTTTTCCATTATCTTAATTAAAAATTGGAGCCCAAGTCATCAAAGTGTAATAGCAATACAGTTGGCCCTCCATAGCCACTGATTCTTTATCCGTGGATCCAAGCATCCACGGATAGAAAATATATTTTTTTAAAATATAAAATTCCAAAAAGAAAACCTTGATGCTGTCATTTTATATGAGCTGTGCTCTGGTGCCACAACAAACTTCAGTCCCCAGAATTCCATAGCATTGAGCCACGGCCTTTAAAGTGATGTCAAACTGGGTTATTTCTGCTGTGCGGATGCAGTCCTAGGCTTCATTCACGCTACATAATAAACCAGTTTTCAAAGTGGTGTAAAACAGTTTAAAGGAGCCTTGTTCACACTTGCGCTAAATTTCTGGTGCAGTTTGCTGGGTGCAGCGCTAAACCCAGTTAAACCGGTTCTTTCAAATCTGAGACATTCCTTGCATCTTTTTAAATGAATCGATTCAGCACAAGTGTGAACGCACTGTGGACTGGATTCGGTTCCCTGTGGCGCAATCACCCCTGTG